GAAGGAAGGAAGGAAGGAAGGAAGGAAGGAAGGAAGGAAGGAAGGAAGGAAGGAAAAGTGGTTGGGATCAGTTGAAAAAAGAAATGGGAAGGCAGCTCCAAATATAAATGTGTTTAAATGTGTTTTTAAATTAAAAGTAAACCGATTCCTCCCCAAGGATTTAATAATTTTCCTGTCACGTCAAGTGATTAATGCAATGGAAACATTGGGAAGATCTGGAAGGCTGCACTCAGGACTTCAGGGTGGGGCTGGGGCGCAGAGATCCATCCCTGGGCTCAATATTGCTCACCTTTCTTCTACAACATCTCCTCGCATCTAAGGGCATTGGCACAAAAAGGCTCCCGGGCTGCAGATATCACCGATCCAATACGCAAGCAGGCTTAATTTCCAAAGATTTTGACGATTCACACTCACTGACTGCAATTCTCAGATTCATTCTTGAAAAGCAATTTACTTTCTAGGGTATTTCTGGGGAGCTGGGGAGTTTTCCATGTGATTTAGAGTTCCTTGATTAATTTTTCTGAATCATGAGATAAAAAAGCAGGAGCCAAGGTAACAACTGCTTTCACCACTTATAAAATGCCAAATATATGTGTGTGTGTGTGTGTGTGTGTGTGTGTGTGTGTGTGTGTGTGTGTGTGTGTGAGAGAGAGAGAGAGAGAGAGAGAGAGAGAGATTCAGAAAAGAGGGAAAAAGGCTTCTATAGAGCAGGATTTGCACGGGTCTTGCACAAAATGTTGTAGCCTAGCTTTTTCCAGGATATTCTTCTCTCTTCCACTTTGGGTGAGTATGTTTGTCTCCCAACACCTAATTAGCACCCATTCTAAATACACAAACTCAGGTATTTGTGGAGCTGGGCTCGTTCCTAATACTTGTCCCACTTCCACGAACTTTGTGCATCTCCAAGTTCTTCTAGGACACTCATTTGGAGTGTTGGGTATCCAAGATAATACATGGTGTTTAGTTCAGACAGATGAATCGTTTATTTTGTATTGGCTGTTAGGCAGGCCGTAGCGAATCAAACTATTCAGCGTATAGATTTCGCATGAGAAAAAGGAGTGTCAAAAATGAATAATTAAACCCTTGCCAGAAAGACAATGGGCTGGACGCTGCTGCTGTTCTCTGTCATGTAAAGCAATCAATCATGCCACTCTTTCCGTTTCAGCCAGTTATCATAAGAACAAACCATTCTCCTTCTCCCTCCTTTCCTTTTCTTTGTAGGTTGTATCTTTTATCTGGTAGACCTGAAGGGTAGGGACTATCTCACAACTGGTATTTGTAACTCATTGCTTTTGGATAAAAGATGGGAGAAGCTATAGGCTTTTAGGGCAACATAATGATTTTTTGGACCTGCTCTTGGGCTGTTGTTCATACAACTGTAGTATGTACCTCTCCTCTGATGGATCTGGGCTACTGACAACACCAGACTAGACCCTGGCAAGTTTTTCAGTGGCTGAAATCCCAATGTAGTGGTTGTTGCCCAAAATCTACAGAGCTGCTGATGGTCATCACAGTTTCTTGCCCAATGGATGGATCATGCAGAGTTATGAGCAGGTCATACCTGGTTCCCGTATGGTCCACCAAGAAAGACTAGTTCACAGAATGGCGGATGAGACCTGCCTTCTCCAATTCAAGGGTGAAGTATCAAGAAGGATGGATATCAACTCCCAGAATTCCCCAGCCAACTTAACCATTGCACAGAATTGTGGGAGTTGAAACCCACACAACTGGACAGCATCCCATTTCAGAAGACAGGTCTAAACTTTCAAAGGATTAGAAATAGGAAGCATTGTCCACATCTTACAAGGAGGTGGGAAGGAAGATCAACATTCACTTTTTAAAGAGATTATTACATTGTCAGACTGTGAGTATCTAGAAAAAGGGGGATTACTTTTCCAGGGCTGAGGGCCACACTGATCCTTTGAGTGACATGCCAGAGAATAGTGGGCGGAGCCAAGAAAACATTCAGTTCAATTAACTTCATTTTATTCACATTTATATTTAAATAAAACTATATATATAATTCCTGTCCAGTTGGGCATTTAATAATTTCCTCCTCTTCTCCCATTAAAAAGGACTGAAGTAGTATAAAAGATAACACACATATTTTTAGAAACCAGCAAGGGTTGACTGTTACCCCCTTATTCAAAAAGAGAGTTAGTGAACTTGTAGATTGAGGGAATGCAGTGAGCTTTATCTTCCCAGCAACATTGCAAGATATCCCATTAATGACAAGATGGATTGGGTATTACTGTGACTGTTAGACCATAATCAACAGCTACTGATTAATAGTACTAAAAGGAGGTCTTGGTCATGGAAGAGGAGAATCATACCATTCTTTGATACCACAGGAACATCTAGGAGAATACCTTCTGGAATAGGTTATTGAAGTTGAGCCAGCCACCTCTGCTGGATGAGGAACAGGAAGACTCAAGTTCTAGTTCCCCCTCAGCCGCAGAAGATCCCTGGGGGACTTTAGGCCAGCCCCTCCCTCTCTGCCCAGCCTACCTCACAAGGCTGTTGTTGGGGAAAAATGGGAGGAGAGCTTCCTGTGCCTTGAGCTCCTGTATGAAAGGCAGGCAGTGCGGCTTCTCAACGGGACCTAATACCCAAAGCTGAAGAGGAGCGGGCTAAGCAGAGTGGAGGGCAAACAAGTGGTGGGCTGGAAAAACCAGAGCTCGGCCCCCTCTCCCCCGTTTGCCAAAGAGGGCTTGGGAGATTTGCCCCCGTCCCACCTCACCTTGGAGGTTTGCAATCAGTGACGTTAATGCAGACTGTCATTGTGTGAACGCCATCGAAGAGTGGCTGTTGCTTTCACTGAATTCACCAATGGCTTCCATTTGCCCAGTGCATGCATGGATCAACTGGGTGGGGTTCAGACAACATGTTAACCCCCCCCCCCAAGGCCCCCAAGCCTTGAGATGGCTTAAAATCTTCTTGCATGGAATCGCTTTACTTGGAATAATTGAGTGAGTGAGTGAGTGAGCGGGTGAATGAATGAATGAATGAATGAATGAATGAATGAATGAATGAATGAATACGGAACAGCGGAGGATGGAAATGTGTTTTATTTGTGAAGGTCATATGGATGCTTGACTTTCCCCCATTCTCGTTTCCGCAAGATATTCCTTTGAATTTTTCCAGCTGCTGTTTTGGGCAGTTCTTGGACAAACTCAATCTGTTTGGGAAAATTAAAAAAAAAAAACAACTTTTTTTTTTGTCCCTTGGTGGCAGCACTGAACCTTGGTGATGTTTGGGTAGGGGACCACATGGAAATCCCAGGGCTGGTGGCTCGACAGGGAAGTTAAAAAAAAATTGAAGATGGCAATGGGAAATTACTTTGGTAACACTGCCAAGAAACCAGCCTAGATTCAGTCCTCATAAATCATCCTCAACTTGAGGGCATCTTGGTTTACCAATTCTGAGACATAACTAGATTGCAAGAGTGGCCTTTCAACTGTAGGGAAAGTCTTATAAACCAGACTCCCAAATCCCATAACCTACAAACTGGACCACCCTATAGGCTTATGTAATCCTATGCTGCAGGAGTGTGCAGGGTGTGGTCAAAGAGTCGAGAGGGTGGCCTCAACAGTGGATTGAAGCTCCTAGCTTGGATTGCACCACTGCGGCCACCATCTTGACTTTTTTGACCATATGCAATGGGCAGAAGGAATAACCTTGAGGAACAGGAGGAAGAGCCACAACCAAGACAAGAGTCAGATAAAAGCAATTTGAATCCGGGACAGAAATGTAATTTGAGAAAGCGTCTCAGACAGGACACCTCTTATTAACTTGAAGATGAAGGGAGGAAGGGGGGAGGCACTTTCAGACTTGCAAGATTCTGTTCCTATGACCTTATAATAAAAGTACTGTAGTATTAGCCTATGTGACTGGTTTCCTAGTCTGGTCTACCTTGAAGGCTGACACCGTACCCTGCGGACATCCCACCCATGCTGCATTTTCCGAAACAGCCAAGCATAAACTCATCAACTCAGAGGTAAACACTCCTCAGCTGTGCTCAAT